TTAAAACCCAAAACAAAAAAAAAAAAAAAAAAAATTTATATATATATACATACATACATACATACATACATATACACATATACACGACACTGCATCTGTGTGTAGATATGAGAGAAAGCAGATAATGGGGTCCCTGCACCCTGGGCCTGCATGGCTTCCTGTGGGCCTGAGCAAGACTACGCATCACCAGCTCCACCTCAGTTGCAGAGTTCTGCTCCCCACCTGCCAGTGAACAGCCGAAACCCACCATGGTCACAAGTACAGTACACTGTGTGAGCACACTGGCAGAGTGAAACGAGCTCAGTGAGTGGCACGGGCAGAAGCCCCATCAGCAGCACGGGCCAGGCCACACAGCAGCTGGACCTGGAGTCTACACGGCCCCTCTGCAGCCCTTCCCCCACCTTCTGAGGATGGTGTGAGCCAGCGCACTGAGATGGTCTGCAGCCACGGAAGCATAGGGCTTCACCTCTCCCAGGCAGCACAGGTGGGAAGGGGACACACTAGGACCTGCAGCAGGTGGAGGAGACGGAGGCACCACTGTGGGATGGCAGGCGAGCGGCAGAGCATGTGGTCTGAGAGCTTGCAGCAAAGCCCTATCAAGTGCACATTCTGCACACAAACCACAGAGCCGCCCAGGGACTGGCTGGGAGGTAAAGGCAAGTCCCTCCCGGCTGCACTGGAGCCAGGAGTGCAGGATGGGACTCCCCGAACACGGCAGCTATGCTGGCAAGAGAAAGCTTGGCACATTGCCTGGATCTCATCGTAAGCAGGTGATGCAGCTCACTGCAAAGGCCCTAGGTTCAACCCAAGATACAGCAAAAAAAAGGATTTCAAAGAAGATACATAAATAACAATCACATGAAAAGATGCTTAATGAAAAATACAAGTCAGAACTACCATGTGGTGGCATAGGCCTGTAATCTGACTGCTCCAGAGGCTGAAGCAGGAGGATCACCTCAAATTCAAGGCCAACCTGCACTACACAGTGAGATCCTGTCTTGAAATAACAAAATCTACTGTGAGATACCACTTCATACAAGTCAAAAAGAAACAGAAAACATGGTGGTCCCAGAGTTCAAGAATGTTTTTGTTTTCAAAGTTTGGCTCACCAACAGAAGCATTTGTCAAAATTTTGTTTTTGTTTGCAGAGTGCATCAGGTGATGAACACGACTGTGGCCATCTTTCCCAGAATCACAGGACAGATGAAGTGCAGGTGAGGCACCACTCTGCCTTCACTGCGGGCAGGAACGGAACAGGTTTTTTGGCTGACATCACCACAGTAAATTAGAATTGCTGTGTCACGATGTGGGAATCACTCTCTCAGGTACACTCCCAAAAGAAACGAAGGCCCTAGCCCTAGCTCAACACCTGGCACATGCGTGTGCACAGAACACTCTTCCCAAGAGCTGGCAGGTGGGCTGGGGCCTGATGTCCCCACTGGGTGAGCAGGACAGGCACCAACCTCAGGTGCCAGTTTTGAAGCTGAGCCACAGACAAGGCCCAGCACACGGTGCTTGCTCAGGGAAAGAACTGACGGGAAGGCCACAGGCTGGCGACTGCATCTGTACAAGGACAGGGACCTCAGGGACATAGGCAAAGTAGCACCTGCTGGGATCTGAGGCCATGGGGTTTCTTTCTGGAATGATGAAAATGGCTCTGAACTCGACAGAAGTGATGGTTTTAAACATCACCTCAATGCCACTGAACTGTTCACTCTGGGAGGCTGAGGCAGGATAACTGCAAAGTGAAGCCCAGACTAAGGCAACTTACTGAAACCTTGTTACAGGGTAGAAAAGCAGAAAGGGCTGGGGGTGTCTCTCAGTGCAAAGGCCCTGAGTTTGATCTCAGGGACAGGGCAGGGAGACACACACACTCTGTGCATTTCACCACACAAAACCAAAATAACAGAATTGATCATTTGAACTACGATGAGATACTGGTTATAAAGGAAAGCTGTATGTTTTAAGGTACTACAGCAGCATTGTGCTAATTACTAAAGGTAGTCTGTATCTTCAAGATGTGTGGTGAGCTGAGGGAGAGAAAATGGGACAAGACTGACTATGGATTAATCTTTTTCCAAGATGAAAAGCTTGAAAATGGGCTGGAGTACAGGTTAGTGGCAGAGTGCCTGCCTACCATACATGAGGCCTTGGGTGAGAACCCCAGCACAGGAAAAAATAAGAGAGGAAAAAAAGAGGAGGAGACCGGGAGGGAGGGAAGAGAGAAAGGAGGGGAGGAAGAAGAGGGGAACGAGCTGCTGAGTCTTGAGTTATAGAGTGT